TAAGACAGTTAAGTAAACAAATATGTTACATGGATCGCGGGTAGGGTCCTTAAAAACTACAAATACCAATTGTGGGGGAAGCTGGTGTAACGATATGACGGTTATGCTAACGTTAGCTGGTTTCACAGCGAAGCGATGGCCCACTAACCGACACCAACCACCGCCGTAACAGACGCTTATTCGACGTACTTTTTGCCTGGTTGGTCGGAAACAGACGCTGGGCCTTCTCTAGAAACTTCCTGGCTTTATCCCGTTGGTTGTTGTTGACGGCATTTATGGCTATTTTTATGCACCGCTCCGCTTCGTCCTTGTTTGAGTCCATCGCGATGATCGCGACACAGCGGAAATGTTTACTTGCCCTGGGACGCACAGAAATGACGCTGAGACGTTATCTGGCTCGTAAATAATACGTCATGGCAGTTTGAAACCACCAGCATGCACTTCAATTAACGTCGGGCAGAAAGTACGTCTTTAATCTGCTATATTTAAGGTCAGATGTTTCTTTTGTTTTCTATATTTAGCTTCACTGGCTGTGACCGTGTCACTAACTGACAATTGAGGCACCCTACGACATAGATACTTCTCTGAAAGTCAAAATGGCTCTAGCAGCTGCACAAACCAGGTCAGTCTTATTTATAAAACGCAAATATCTGCATGCTTTGAGGAAAACCTGCCTGTGGTTTTCAACGAATGACACGATTCTAGCTGATCAGAGGAAACCACCACCGAAAACACATTTGAGAAAAAGTCAAAAGAAGACTACTTTGACTGATCTGTCCTGGGAGGAAATGCTGGCTGGTGTGGTCACCCCTCTATGGAGGCTGAGTTATGATGAGCAACTTGAGCTCAAGCTAAAGCGCCAGGAAAGGATCCTGTCTCAGCTGTCCGGGTATCTTTCAGGTGAACTACAATCACAGTCCTCATTACCTGTCAGAACCAAACTCAGCTTCCCTGTCTTGCCTGTTCTGCCATCACCAGTTAGGGATGGCTACCGCAACAAGTCTACCTTTTCTGTTAACCGAGGAGTGGATGGAAATCCAAAGACGGTTGGATTCTATGTGGGCACAGGGAAGAAGGGAAATATTGTTTGCGTCAATGGAGACCACCTTCTCAACATGCCAGAGAAGCACACAAGGGTGGCCAGATGTTATCAGGACTTTATCCGCCTCTCTTCTCTCGAGCCCTGCCTGCTGTTCCACACTGGGGGTCACTGGAGAGAGGTCACAGTGAGGACCAATGCAGAGGGCCACACTATGGCTATAGTGTACTTTCATCCACAGACGCTGACCCAAGAAGAGGTGGCGGTCCATAAGGCTGAGCTGCTGGATTACTTCACGCGAGGGCCGGGATCAGTCTGCCAGCTGTACTCGCTGTTTTTCCAGGAGAGCGCCATGACCCGCTGTACTCATGAGCAATCACCCTACCAGCTCCTGCATGGTCAGCCACACATATACGAGGAGGTAATACAAACCATTAGGGCAACATTACAGGGAATCCTTAAGTGACTTCACATCGCATACAGCAAACTTTGTAACATGCCAGCATTGCAACGTAATAATTGTCCAACTGAAGCAGTACTTATTCTGGTACATTCTTGTGTCAATACATTTAGATTTACCTATAAGCACATGGTAATTTAACTGTATTTACATGTTTAAAGATGGTGATTCTTTTACTCTGTTTCCTATTTTAATAGTTGCATTAAATGACAGACATTGGAAGAAAGTGTTTCACAAAATCAGCCAATCATCAGCAGTAAAAACAATAATGTTCAAAAGCACTCCAAGGATTCAATAACAGACTTCCATAAAGTTGGGGGACTTGCACAAAAGGTCAAAAATTGATGCAGCCCAAACCATGATATCCTGAATTGGGCCAAGTTCTGGAAACATTGGACCTTAATGTTTCCATAATGCAATGTGATAGCATTCTCAATTAAAACCTCCTCCCCCAGTGGATTCCCATGACTTTCAGGCTATTTGTGTTTATTGTTATAATAGTCCTATAACTAATTAATATTTTTTTTACAATAATAGACAGAGGCAAATTGACATTACAAAATCCATGTATATATCTTCATTATGTCTATTTTCCTAATTGCTGTTTTGTCATTCACAGCTGCTGGGATTCAAATTCCGCATATCTGCCGATGCCTTTTTCCAGGTGAACCAGGCAGCAGCTGAGGTGCTGTATAGCACAGTGAGACAACTGTGTATCCCAAACCCAGAGGAAGGTGGGGAAAGGACACAATTTGGTGGTACTCTTCTGGATGTGTGCTGTGGGACAGGTGCCATCGGCATTATTACATCTCCCAGAGTGGACAGAATTATTGGTATAGAGCTCATAGAACAGGCAGTGGAAGATGCTCGACACAACGCAGCTCTCAATAATGTACTGAACTGTGAGTTTATCCCTGGGAAGGCTGAGGTGGCGCTTCCTGGAGTTATGTCACAGTTGAGCTCTGCAGGTGGAGGGCCTGTGGCAGCTGTGGTGAATCCTGCGCGAGCTGGCCTCCACTACCGAGTGGTCCGAGCTTTACGAAACCAACCTAATATCCGCAGGCTGGTCTATGTGTCCTGCAAACCGGATGGGGATGCTATGAGGAACTTCAGGGAGCTTTGTTGTGCTCCTGACCCGAAGAAGAAACTCACAGGAGAGGCATTTTCTCCAACTCTGGCTGTGCCTGTAGACATGTTCCCACACACTCCTCATTGTGAACTGGTGCTACTATTTGAGAGGTAGCAGATGATTTAGTTCAGAGTTCAGCTTTAAACAACACTAATTTATTTGTAACTCTGATGTGGCATCAAATAATATTTCACTATATGCTAAATATAATGGCTTATCTTTACCCACACACGTTTTCACTTATTTTCTTGATTAGACCTTGTTTCAGGGCTGCAACAAATACTTAATTATTCTTTCGATAAATCTTTTAGGATATACAATATACTTACATTGAGTCCAGTATGATGCTTTGAAGTTGCTTCTTTCGTCCACCAACAGTTCAAATATCATAGTATATTCAATTAACAATGATAAAGAAAAGAGAAAAAGGGCAAATCCTCACATTTGAGCAGTTAGAGCCAGCAAATGTTGTTACTGATTCTTTGGGCAAATTCAAAAGGTAATTTAGTCTCCGAGTTTTGTGGAGATAGTGAAGTGTAAGGCTTTACATGTAGAAGAGGCCATCTCCTATAGTGACCGTTACACCACAAACCCTGTCATGAGACCTGTGACCTCTCAAAATAAAAGCCTCTGCAGATCAACTTATTTTCACTACATGAGCTAATTTTCTGTTATTTTAGATGGCGTACACCTTTTTTAATCTTATTGTTTTGTGTTGTACTGCACTGACAGATTGTCTTTTACTACAGCAGGTGAACAGATGAAAGGTCACCTTGGATAAGATAAGATAAGAAGATGTACTTTATTGTTCCCAAATTGGAAAATATTTTTGTCCCAGCAGCACGTAAAACAAGGCATCGCACCTAATTAGAATATAAACAATTATAGAATCTCAAAATATAAAATTAAATGGAACTAAAAAAAGAAGAAAATATAAAAGTTGACACTAAAGGCTGTGAACTATCTAACAAATAAAACACTAAGGGCCAAATTACAGCTGACACAATATTAAAGTAGGATATGATTTACATTACAGAGTTGAGTCAATAAATGTATTACACAGTGTTTATCCATTATAAACGTCACAAGCCTAAAAGTTGCTGAAGAGGTGTTACAATGGATTCATAATTCTGTGAAAGATGTTCATATTCTTTGTCCACATGAGTGATTCTCTTTGTCTGCCCTGCAGTAGCTGAATTTGTGCAACAGATGGCGCTATAACCACTTTTTTAGTAGCCATCCTATTTGGAGACATCCCATTAATTCCAGTTGACTAAAGGTCAATATCATATTGAGTGTACAGTTTGAGTGGTCCACGTTTTTTCCAGAGAGTTTACCAGGGTGTATGTGAGGTCATACATTGCATCAGGACGTCCTTGGTTTTTAGATAGGATGTTGTTTGATCTCTTGGGTGAAGTCATGGGATGATGATGCTCATGAGGGGTTAGCATGAAGCTGGGAAATGAACCTTTTTACACTGCCCGGGGTATAGGGTTTAAACAGGCACATACATGCCCTTATCATAGTCATGTTTACTAACTCTGCTCTTGCTAATTTTATTAAAAAAACTTGTGTTCACAATAGGTTTCTGCGGTTTATTGATTAAACAGCATGTGCTTAAGAAAAGTAAAATATATGTTATACATAATAATCAAATCTTACCTTCAAAATTTCACACAAACATGTCATTTTTAATAAGTAGTTTCTGCATATTATATCTTTGTCTTTTGATTTGGACATTTGAAAACACACTTTTTAACATATTGTACTTAAATTATACCAGTATTGCATCTGAATAGGCCAGGGAATTCCCCCACTCTGAATTACCTGCAATGAAATGTACAAATGACACAACCATCGGCCCTTAGACTCTTGTCAGGTGCTGTGGGAATTCCCTTGTCTCTTGCCTTTGGATTTATCCTTCCATGCACCCATCTCCAAGAAAATACAGGGTGTGCTTTAGCCTTCACACAGTCAAGAAATGCACTGTGTACAACGTTTTTTTTCTTCACGTGTCATATTAACCATGTCAGACTAGACAGTATAATTGCCTTTACACTGCATATCTGTACTTGTTGGAAAACGTGACGCAAGTGGGAATAAGGGCAGAGCCAAATGCAAATGTCTTGATCTCCACATCTGACTGAGACTGTCATTGCTTTATGACATAATGCTGTCAAATATACTGACCTTTGTTTGCCACATCTTTCAATGTGTCAACACATTAAGGAGAGATATTAAGATCGAGAGGTTGATTTGAAAGATTGAGAAATGTTTTGGATGGCATACATATGATAAGAATGTCTGGGGATTGAAAAAAACGGAGGGTGGTTAACACAAGCAAACAACCAATAGGATACCCAGAACATGTGGCATCCATTTCCTCATCGACCAATTGCTTTAAAAGGACCTCAGAATATGCAATAAGAGATCCTCAGTAACCGGGGATCATCACACCAGTATTACCGAACGCATTTCTCGCTTTTTCCTCGTCACCCACATCTCCCCTGCACCCGGATCTCCTGCAGCTTTGTGTCTTCCTCTGTACTGAAAAACGCCTGTCGACTACACGGTAAGTAAGCGCAACATGAGCACGTAATTATCTCAAAAGAATTTGAATGGATATTTTTTGAAGAGACGCCGAGTGTCATGCAAATTGCAAGCGGTATTTGGCTAGTGGTGTGGCAGATGCCCGCAGGGATAATTCGCAGACATATTGTAACTTCTGCCTACGCAGCATATCACTGCTGCGCCACTGGCTTATATCACGTCTATTCGTGTAATAACTTTGTTTTAGTCATTAAATCTATACACGACACGGTCTGATGCCCACTTTTATGTAGCTAACGTTAAACAAACGTTGTCCACCATAGGGTTAGCCCTGCTAGCTAGCCCCTAGAAAAGTTTAACATCCACTTCCCTACAGGAAGTGGTTAGCGTTTAGTGTAGTTTTATCATAATTATGGCATTAACTCATGTTACAACTTGGACATAGTAGGCTACATGTGAGCACAGTAGCATCTTCCGGTGCTACAAAAGTGTCGTGCCGTTTTTTAGACTTATAAACCGCTGGAAAGCAAAGAGGTGTGTAGTGTGTTTGTGTAATGTATGAAAGAGGAGTGTCCCTTTCTTTCTTTTTTAATGCGCCACATGCGGGGTGAAAATATATTCAAATTGGCCTATCCCTAAGATTCGGCATGTGACATAAATAACGGGGGAACTTGGTCGATTAAAAGTGGTTTCTTGTGAAACACGAACCATTATTCAAATCCTATCTGGGATGTGTCAGTGTGTATGCCGGTGGGAAGTGGTGTAACAGTTGAGCACGCGCTCAGGTTAAATACCATTTTATATGAACCAGTGGAGCGGCAGCGGCTCACAAAACAGTGACATACCACTCATATTATGCCACTAGAAAAAAAGAGAAACGCTGCCTGTCAGCCAATGTTCTATCTTGGCGCTGCTCGCAGACTGCTGCGTGTTCACAGCCAGCCGCCGTACCTTCCTCCCCGTTTCTCCATCCCACCGTACGCATTTAACAGAGCCACATCTCCCTCTCTCTCTCTCTCTCTCTCTCTCTCCCTCTCTGTGTTTTCCTGCTGCGCACTGTTGTTACAGAACCCCCTTTTCAGCAAAGATGACCGAAACGGAAACCAGAACCATTCACGATGACAAGCAACAGAACGGAGCTGCTGTGGCAGAAACGTCGGTGGAGGATGTTTTTGACGATACCTATAAAATGAAAGAGGGTCCAAAACCACCGAGGATGCTGGTGTGGAGAAATATCATCCTGATGACGCTCCTTCATCTCGGAGCGCTTTATGGACTGGTTCTCCTGCCTTCTGCCTCGGTTTCAACTGTCGCATGGAGTAAGTATTTACCATATTGTAATAGGCTATAGGCTAAGCTACGCAGCATTTAGTTGTTTTTCTTTCTCCGTGTAGGCCACAGTCCGAACAGAATGTGCTGATGTTGTTAGATCATTGCTAACTACAATACATCCAGCCTGGGGGGGGGGGGGTCATGCCATGCCTATGGGAATATTGTAGAATGAGTCAACCTGGCCTTGTCATTTTATTGTAAAAATCCATCTAAATGTATGTTGATTGTGACTTTTTTTTTTTTAAAGAGCTCAAACCTGTGGCTGGTGGTAAACTAATTGGGGTTGTTAGAATAGGTTGCATACTCAACTAGTATCATGCTCTACTAGTATTTGAATCTGAGTGTTAAAAGAAAAACTGTTAGCTGATTATTTACGCTTTATGCTCTATATGTAGACTATTGAGGCATGACTTTGATTTCTGAACAGTCTCAACTTTGTTTCCACACTGCTACTGCATAATTTCCCCCTCTCTTTACAATGCTGAGCTGCATATTATTTCAGCGAGGAAGACAAAGCACAATCACCATTCCCATAGACATCCCATTGTGAGCAGTGTGGCACCACAACAGAATGCCAGTGAGAAGCCCCCGGGTCTCAAATCCTGCGTAGTCTTGTCTGTGCTTCACATAGAAACACATTGAGCCGTTTTAGAACAACAAAAGTGTGAGGGCCGACCTGCACGCTGCCACTGTCCCATCTCCCCATATACATGACTTTTCTCTGAACAAAGAGGCCAGGGTGTTATGGAAAGAACTTGGTGTCCCTGTGACTCCGCTCTCATGGGTGTAAAATTAATCTCAACGTAGCGATGACAGTTTCCCCTAAGATATGTGTCCTTTCCACCTCTCTTCCTTCCAGCTGCAGTGTGCTATCTCATCAGTGCTCTCGGTGTGACTGCCGGTGCACACAGACTATGGAGCCACAGATCCTATAAGGCTTCCTTTCCTCTGCGGGTCTTCCTCGCTCTCGGCAACTCCATGGCGTTTCAGGTAAAACAGGAATAAGTTCAAAAATAAGTTTAGATGCGCCTAATTGATCCCCACGGGCAAATTGTCTGCAGCAACAGCACAACTGGTGGATTCGCATGTATTAGTTGGCAAGTGCTACTTCCTCTTTTAAGTCAGCCTCCACCCAAAAAATGTGTTTTTGTCCCTTGATAGTGATTTTTTAAATTTATTTTTTTATAGCTTTGCTGAGCAGATGTGATGTGTGTGTTAGTTTGACACTTAAACACAGTTTTCACATCCTTCTGCTAAAGTGGGAAAGTTTGTGTGGTAACCTTTTGAAAATCTAAGTTTTATACATGGATGTACGAACATGATTTTGTCATATGCATTTAACACACAAGTGTAATATGACATTTTTGGAAAAAACAACAACACAAAGCACTGTTTATATCAGAATATTCACAGACGCGTGGTTTAATGGTTTCCTATAGCTGTACTTAAGCTTTTATATTTATTCGTTTTAACTATTAAAAATAAAGTAACAATAGTAGGATTTCCAGTTTGGAGTGAAGCAATTTTAATGATTATACATGTTTTGTTACCACTGTTATCTCTGACCTTAATCTGATGATCTGATGCCCTCCCATGCATATCTATGCGTGCTTCACATAATCCTTTTCTATCCATCTTCTAATCTGTCTTTGCATGTCTCTTTGTGAGCAGAATGACATATATGAGTGGGCGAGGGACCACCGCGTCCACCACAAGTACTCAGAGACGGACGCAGACCCCCACAATGCCACACGGGGGTTTTTCTTCTCCCACGTCGGTTGGCTGATGGTTCGCAAACATCCGGATGTCGTTGAAAAGGGCAAAAAGCTGGAGTTGTCTGACCTGAAGGCAGATAAAGTGGTGATGTTTTCAGAGAAGGTGAGCAAACAGAACCCAGACTTGTTATGTGGTTTACTGCCGTTCAAATGTAAAAGAAGCTCAAAGATGCAGACTACATGGATACTAATTGTCATTAATGAGAGTCCACATGAAATCAGAACTACATTTTTGTTTCACAGTCATCACCTGTTCAGCGATTTTCTCTCTGCAAAATATGTGTTTTGCGCAAAATGAAATGCTACCTGACATACTGCCTTCAAAATATCTCTTAATCCATAACATATAACAATGCTAATGCAAACCTGTCTACAAAACTGCTAGCACTTTATATCTGGAAACCCCCTTTTAAAAGATGTCAACTAATTAAAGGTGGGGTAGGTAAGTTTGAGAAACCGGCTCGAGATATACTTTTTGTTATATTCCATGGAATGCTCTTAACATCCCGATAGCAATGAATATCTTAAGTGCTTTGACAAAAAATCCATAAAAAAATGTCATCTGTGGAAGCCGTAGTACTGTAAAAAGCACGACCAATCATTTTAGCCGGCCCGGCTAAAATAACTGGATGGCCTACCTGCCTGTCAGCCTTCCATCTGTGCACAAACTTATCTCGTGCCCTCATTGGTCATGTGCGCGTTCGTGTGTGTTGGAGGAGGGGCTCTGTAAGGAAGTGGCAGATTTTTTCCGGCTGTGTATTTTCAAATTCTAGCGCACTCGAGCTGGTTTCTCCAAAATTACCTACCCCACCTTTAATGGTTGAAGTTATGGATATGAAACAAAATAGATACGTGTATTTGCACGGTTTAGAGTCTAGTTATTAAAACGGTTTCCACTCCGGTCCAAGCTCTACAGGATGTTGTAGTCTGGATTATATTGAAACAAGATAACACTTGATATCCATGATCAGCTGATAAGGGATGCTTTTTGGACCAAGGATCAAATCACAGCTTCCCCCGTCTCGTCTTCTGCCAACATGTCTTCTGGCACCGGACCCAGATTTGTTTATCTTCTGCTCTTAAGTTAATCATGTTTATAGTTGCTGTCATCATACCATTATAAGATAACATATGTGGGATTTATGGGATTTAAGAGTGTGTCATACCTGATATCATGTGACTTTTGCTATCCGATCAAAACCATTTTTAATGTCTGTTAACTAGGGTTGGGAACCGAAACTCGGTTCCAGATGAGAACCGATAAGAAAATGCAGGGTACCCGTACAAAATACACAATTTCGGTTCTGCTTAACGGTTCCTAAACGCGGTAGACCCTGTATTCCAGCGGGTCCATCTGCGCCGTGGGTCCGTCTGCGCCGCGGTGACCCGGTGGAATACGGGGACTGGCCATCTGTGTGTTCTGGAGAATCACAGAACGGCCGGTCGTCAGCGGGCCGTTGACGGCTGGCTCGGTATGCTGACGGCCGGCACCGCCCCCCATTTTTTAAAACGGCATCATGTAAGTTGTGCTGACAGGCAACAGAGGTCCACAGTTGCCCCGCAGCGAGGCTCCCCCCGCCCTCCCGTAGACTGTTCACGAGCTCATTACTTCATAACACCAAAGATGGATCGCGGTAAACGCTATAAAGTGAGGCTCCACTACACTAAAAAAGAAAAAGACTAGGCACAGTGTAATGCCTGTTAATAGCTTGCCACAGGCATAGCTCAGTTAAAATAAGGCACAGCTATTGTGCAATACATTTGTATTGCATGTATATTTTTTATTTGTAAAAATGTCAGTTAAAGCTTAAAAGAATAAAGATATTTTTGTTATCTAAACGTTTGACCTCTTTCTTTTACAATTTTCGAATCGAAACAGGGAATCGATAAGAACCGGAATCGATAAGCAGAATCGGAATCGATAAATTTCAAACGATACCCATCCCTACTGTTGACTCTAAAACGACTATTTAATATTTAAAACATTGGTTTAATTTATTCTTAGATTCAACTATTGCCAAGTGATCTGTTAAAACGGTTTATTTTGTTTATTTCAGGCACTACAAGCTCTCTGTGGTGATGCTTTGCTTCGTCGTGCCCATGATGGTGCCCTGGTACTTCTGGGGTGAATCCTTGGTGTTGGCATATTTTGTCCCTGGACTCCTGAGATACGCTGTGATGCTCAACGCCACCTGGCTGGTCAACAGCGCCGCGCACTTATACGGCAACAGACCTTATGACAAAGCCATCAACCCGAGGGAAAACCCGTTTGTTGCTTTCAGTGCCATAGGTAAGGAAACGGCATGTTCAATATCCACTATATTGTGTCCCACAGTGATGTCGTGCTCATTCTGTATTATGACAACATAAGCATTTTGTTTAATTGAATGCCTTTACGTGCCAGAGGGGTATTTGAATTATCTTTTCATCACTTGTTGAAGGCTTGTCTTGTAAAGTCAACCACAGTAGGGGCTCTCTGAAAGCTGATTCAGTCTGGTGTCTGTAGTTGGAACAGTTTGCTAATCCAGCGGCTGGTGTTGACTTTGTCCTGGCTCTGCCCGTTTCAACTTTGAACTTTAGAGGTGTTCAGTGTTCGAGCTGTGTGTTTAGTCATTCTTTAGAGCAGGACATTGAGGTTATTTTCAGTATCATTGTTTCCCACGAGTCAAGAATTTATTTGCGGTGGCTGACACCACGGGGGTATGTTGCTGCAAACAGCGCTGAGCATTGTTAGCCGCTAACGGCATTAATTACATTCACTAGCTAACTTGTGATTGCACAAAAATAGACAATTCTGCCAGACTTTTTTTTGGCTTTCAACTGTATTTCCATGCAGCTTTACCAGAATCTTCCCCATTTTATTATAAGCAAGATAGCTTTTTTTTGTACAGCTGCATAAAAAATTGCGCTCCAAAGTCTATTCTCATAATTTCTTAGGTCATAACTATTGTGTCATGTTTAGTGTTTCCATTTTACTCTCTTGTTTTTAAGCACCTAGAGCAGCTGTAGCAAACACATTCGGCGTAAATGAAGCAACTTTAGTACCTTACTTTAAAAGCATTTTGCATTTGAATATACATTAGAACGTTTGTGATAATTTGTCTCAAAATTCATCTACACAAAAAAAGCATTCTGGATGGTTTAGTACTTGTACTAATCTCAATTTATCCAACACGTTCTACAGAGTTCAGCCTGAACTTCACAATTGGTTCATAGGCTTCAAATATACAGTCTGTGGAGTGGATGTTTCCTACTGCAGTACCCCATGGGACATGAGGTGTCGTATCTCGGATGGCTTTGGGCACACCTGGGCTGTTACCCTGACAACCAAACAGTGTTATACTGACTACTGAGACTAATCTAGAAAATCTGATTTCAGCAGCTTGTAAATGACATTACATGACAGTCCACCGCTAAGATTTTACCGAGTCGCCAATTCACTTTCTCCAAATCACATTACCAGTCACATGCTACCAGCAGCTGTGTGTATAAAGCCCTGTGCCACTGTCCTGTTATGTGTTCAAATGAGCAGAAATGTATCATCTGATTGTTGCATGTATATCTTAATTCAGGTATTTAACTTGTTGACATTCAGCAACACACTAAAGTCCTTCTTTTTTGGCTTTCAGGGGAAGGTTTCCACAACTACCACCACACGTTCCCCTTTGACTATGCAACGAGTGAGTTTGGCGTCAAGCTCAACATCACCACTGCCTTTATAGATCTCATGTGCTTCATGGGATTGGCCACGGACCCCAAGAGCGTGTCAAAGGAAGTAATCATGGCTCGCGTCAAGCGGACGGGTGAGGGCAGCCACAAAAGCGGCTGAGTCACAATAGCTAGGAACTTTGCAAATGAAACCGAACATGTCGAACCGAGACCGAACGTAGCAACAAGTATAGCAGCATTTCAGTGGTGGTGGTTGGGGGGGGCGTGATTACCATGCTTCTGATTATAAGTTAAACCCCCTCCTGAGACTAATTTTTGGCTTTAAAGAGTTGTAGACCTTTCCATAAACTGTGTGGGCCTCTTAAGTTTTGAAGTGTCCTCGCCAACTATTCGCCACAGCCAGCGACTTGACTACATGTGTAAGCACAGCTTTTCAACATAATATTTAAAACCGGGCACAAACAGAATGAAAAGGCTAATTAGGATTTGCGTCGCGTTTGGCAGCAGTAGGACAACCAAACAAGTTAGTGATTTGTTGAAGCAGTGATTACAGAATGATTTACTGTATATCTTATTTGTTTAATGTGCTATTTATTAATTGTGTTTGGCACTTTGGAAGCTTCATTGAAACCCTTAACAGTGAGGTTTGTCTACAGGCAATATTAAGGGCCTTCCGCGCTAACTTCTCTCAGTACTGCTTTGTCTCTTTCCACAGGGAGTGGAGTTTCATCTTGATTATTGTTTGTCTGTGATAAGCTAAGGTTTTCTTTATTTTATGTAAGATATTAGTCTTGCTAAACCATAAGCTACTGTGTTCAATGCCGACACAAAGACAGGCAACACTCTATTGAACTTTCCATATTTATCATACCGGAGTAACCCTCGGTCGAATACAGTTCAGATGTGCTATACTTTGGGATACTTTCACACCCATTGTCTCCAACTGTACCAGAAGGGTTCTTATTGAGGATTAAGTTCTCTGTTTCAATGCAGTTTATACCTCTTGAGTAGTGAAGGCGCCTCAGACTGAAACACGGAACCTGACTTCTTACTCAATACACAAAAATAAATTATTATTAGCATTTATTTTTAAATATACTCGGACAAGGTAACCCTCTCCCTCAGATAAGGCCAATGAGGTATGTGTAGAGGCTGCATTTACCTTTTGTGCTGTGTGATATTATTGAAACGTGTCAGGACTCTTGCCCAAATGCCTTATGAGGGTTGCACACCTGATTAAAAAAAAAAGATTTGTTAAAAGTGCAAGTTATGAAAATACATTAGAATATTCTGTCTAATCAAAGATGTTTCTGTCTGTCTTTAAGAACAACTTAAAACTTAAAATCCCTGTTTTATAATGAATAAGAGGGGACCATTCAACTAATCTTAAAGAAATGCTATGATTTAACTTTTGTGTGACCAAACAAATACTTTCCTCTAAAACAAGATCCAACTTGTTATATCATTATTGATAATGTTGTTATATTTGTCACACATTTACAGAGCAACACTTTTTTACAGTGTTAACTTCTTGAAGTTTGAATGCCTTAAAACAATGGCACATTTTTTCAAAGAATGTTTTTGCCCACTGTATGTACCGTAAATAAACCAAATTTTCTACTTGCGACTATGTTTTTGATGTTTTTTGTTGGAATTCTGTAATACTCTATTCGTAAACTGAATAAAAAAATATGATCGTACCATTTCTGTTACATTCTTTATCATTTTGATAGATTAATAATAACCACTACTTAAAATGATAATGAACTATTGATAAAGTTACTAAATCAACTATACTTTAAAATAAAACCATGTCAAAAGTTAAAGAAACATGGAGCTAAGTTATTACATGTTTTATATTACAACCACAATCTATTCTGACATACTTGGCACTGTGACATACAATATTTTAGTATTGAAAATATATTTCACATGAGAAATTAGGTATGTAAAGACAGTTTTCATTGGGTATTATTTCATACACATTTAAATAGTGCACTAACGTAAATTTTTTTCATATTTTTGGAAACCTTGATTATTAGTCTGACAGTTGTCGCCAACTACACAACATTATTTTCGTCACTGACGTCCAACACGGGTTAAGAATCTGAAAAGATGTTATCTTCATCTTGCTCCTGTTGTTGGACATGTTAATTGACATCGTCTCCTGTCTGTCTACATGCCTATACTGATGGGGATCTTATCTCTGCTGTTCAAGCTCAGTTCACTTGTCTCAGGCATCTAACATTGTAAGATTACTACACTTTTAACACCACCGTACATATTTAAAATAGCTGTGGATATTGTTTGAACATTCCTAGAGTACAGACATCTAGGTAGTGCATACTGCTTTGCAGCCTCACGTCTTCAGGCCTACATATTTAAAACTGAAACAGCCTGACATGCTGTTTGAGGAAAAAGAGTTTCTTTAGTGTTTTCTCTAAAGAGAATTTAGTTAACATATTTCATCCGTTTGCAGGTTCTGTAAACTTGCTCCCTCTGCTGGTGAATTATTTGAATGCAGGTCAAACAAACAGCTAAGAACTCCATCTGATGTGTTAACGCAATAACATGTGATAACCTTGTTGCAATTGGTGGTTTTGGCATAAGAGCTTCCATTCAGAGAGCAGCCACAAGCCTGAGTCTGATCCAAATGTGCATGTCCCACAACTGCTGATCTCTGTTGCTCTAACAGTGACATCAGCCCTCTGTCTATTGGCTGCTGACGGTCAGGCCATCCTCTTCACTGCATGCAACACCTCGGTGTTAGTCACACAGCCAGTCCGAGCTCGGACACCACAGTGGACAGACAGACACTTTCAGCTCTGCTATTGCACACCACAGAGGAGTTGTTTACTAATAAGCTCCTGGCTGTTGATTTTCAGGGGATCTGAGGTCCCAATTTAGTCAATTCAGAATGAATCAGATACAGTGTTACCCACCCACACGTTTTGGACATATACAAAGAAAAATCCCATGTTCTGCAATTAGATGCAAATTCCACTATGCTCATGCAAAGCTAGATGCCGCTATTTTTCACATTTATAGACCAATATGGACCTTTGATGACGCCTTGTTTTCGTGTTGCGATGAATTGTAGGCCTAACTGCGCACTTTTGGTGACGATCATTTCTCTTGTATTAAAACACAACAGGAGGGATTCTGCTGTTGTCTCATTTCACTTGTCATTCCACTTTAAATCTTAATCCAAAAACATCCCTCAGAAGTCCCCCCTCCTTTCAAATCACTGTTTCTCTAATCCTAATTTGCACACAAGAAGGTTGCTAAAGGGCTGCCTGCGCCAAAGGAAAGGGGTCCTAAGGGTCAGACGGGGTTATTGGGGAATAACCCTGCATGCAGTGTTAGGTAGGGACCGTCTGGATTAGTGATGCAAATGTCCCATATATCTGATCAATGGCTAGGCCTTCTCTCTCAATCTCTCTTTTATTTTCTGTTAGGGATCATCACTCGGAGAAATTCTCTCTTTTTATATCTACGGGCGTCTGGATGGCAATATGACAGGAAAACGGGATAGGCTACTGCTAACAGGTAAACTCGAATAAACATAAAAAAAAGTATATTTAAAGTGATTTAATACGACACAAAACGGATATTTTACGGAACATAATATAAAACGTGGTTGTTTATTGATCCTTATTATGACATCGTCGACGTTAAGAGATTAAATGTATGTAATCAAGTACACAATACGTGTGCCATTACTTATTTGTAAAGAGAAATTAAATTATGTTTTCTCCAAAAGTCGTTTTTGCAGCCAAATCATCTACATGTGGAAATAACGTATTATGTCAATTTAGTAAATATAATGAGGCAGTTTGACCCCATATGATATCAAATGATCAGAGGACACTTTGTCGTGTTCAGTGTGAGTAGGCCTAATAGTCCTTGTGTTGAGGGTGATAAACATTGATCCAATCACGTCTTTTTAATAGCATGAACTACTTCCTCAAGAACAAACAATATATGTATATCAAACTAACCATCCGTCACCCAGAGGACTATCTTCCACTAATCCCTGACAATCAGATGCGTGTTAGATAGTTTAAATACACTTTTTTCTCCTACTAGAAATTCAAGGGATCAGTGTTACACTTTTGCTATAGGATTAAACAGATCTTCCTTGGCTCTTAAATGGAGGCAGGGAACCTACCGTTGCCCGGCCCTGAAGGCCCAGGGTGCCCTTTTGATCATTTCAGTCTCTCCTTGGTGCAAAACTTCTGATTGGCCGAGAGAGTAAAAAGGGGGAAAATCTTTAATTAAGCAGATAATCTCTTGTTGGGACGAGAGCAGCTCCATTTCAGAGCCCCCTCCTTGAATCTTGGAAGCTCTGGTGAAGCTTCATGTGCTGGTAGCTCAGTTTCCTCTCCATCGTCAGACCGTGTGCAGGCTTTGGACGGTCTGAGTCACCGTCACACCCTCACCTGTCAGGATGTTCATGCATTTGGAGGTTTTCTATTACATTTTCATTCTCGTGGCTCACATGAGGTCGTACTGCTGCTGGTGAGTTTCATTTATCATGAAATATCAATACTTTCTGCAAACACAGTTTCATGCCCTGATGATGTTTATCTCCATGCATTTCTCTCAGTCTTTTTCAAAAGGCATAACATGGCCAAATAAATCACTTACCGTAACAATTTGCCAATTGGAAATAAAGGAAAAATCAAATGAAGGAATTGTTTATGTTTATTATAATTTAGGAATATAATTATAATTTTTTTTAATTAAGGATTTACAAGTTGGAACTAATGGCTTTATGAATACAAAATCAGTTATAGATCAGTTGCTATCCAGTACAAGTTTTGGGGTGTAAAAAGAACGATTTTTAACATCTGATTGCTTATTTCCAAAAATAATGGCTTCAGACCAAAATCCATGTATTCAATTATCATAACTTGAAACTGAAGACTTGATGAGTTAAATACATTTTTAAATAGAGATGACTAAACATTTAGAACCACATTTTCAACAACGGACAAACCAATAAACATGTATAAATGGACAACCAACATTTTTGGCTGCGTTCATTTTCAAATAGACAGGTTGAACATGATTGACACAACCTGGCAACGGCAAATTTGAAGTCAAGTGTTAATAACATTGAATCATTCAGTCATTGCCTTCCGTTCTTACATTTCTAGAAACTTTTGATCAAATTCAGTAGTATTGTTCACTGAGATTTGGATGCATACTGGTGTCACGGTTTAACATGTTACAAGGCGCACTAATGAGAGATGTTAGCAGAGGAATTTGTGAAGGACACTGAGCTTCCCTGAGTGAATAAGCTGTCTCCTTTTCCAGGTCAGTGAATAATTTCCTGATGACTGGACCCAAGGTAAGCCAACTTTCTTTTGATCTTTTCTCAGATTCCTTTTCCCAAAAGAAAGAGGGAGCGAAAACATGCTTTCTGTGTTGTCCTTGTGATATCTCAGCTCAAGTGTATCTTGTTCCTGTATGTATCCAACAATGGCACTAATGATATATCAGTAATATTCTTGGCCCTTTGTGTTTTCTTTCCCCCCTGATCGTACACTTGACCTTATTCAGAGGCTCTGCGTATCTGCGGGTTGAATGTTTTAAGGGGCGAGGGCAGGCATTGCTGTAGTGGGTGGTCATCATTAGTGAGCCAGACCCCTGTGAAAGAGGTGGCACTTCATCTCAGCAAAGGCCACTTGAGACATATTAGTTATATTATCGTTCACACAGTGTGAACAAGCTGAAGAGAGGCGAGCGAAAGCCAAGGACAGAGCGTACCGGTTTGAGAGAGCTCAACAATTGACGCTCATTCACCGGGGATGATAGAGTGGAAAAAGTAGTATAATGTTGAAATCCGTTCACATTGTTTTTGTCATGAAACTGAAAACAAGCATACTCGACATTAAGGGCTTGTTGATATTCCATATGATACCCACTTTGACATTCTTGAGAAAGAAAGTGGCAAAACATATTTAAGAGTAAAAAATGACACCAGTAGGGAGAAATACATGTAAAAGTCTATTGGACATCATTATTCCTAGTTTTCATATTAACATTTTATTTTGTTAACCCCCTTTCTAGAAGTTTCAGAAGTGCTCTCATGGTTTGTTGGAGCTGTGACTCCTCACCATTTCATAGGCTCAGGCTTTAGTCATTTATTCAATTTTGTCTGCTAAAAATGATATTTATGTTCTTCTAAATGGCGACTTATAAGCAACAACTCAAATTTAAGTACCAGGTCACCATTCCCAAAAGACAATGGTAATTTGTATAAACTGGGTATCAAATCAAACCAGTTGCTGTAAAAAAATCTCAACTTCTCAATTTATGTTATCACTGTTGCAAAATGTGTGGTGTCGATGTATATGTTAAATATCTCCCCGTTGCTGCAGGCGTACCTGATCTACTCCAGCAGTGTGGCAGCAGGAGCTCAGAGTGGCATAGAGGAGTGCAAATACCAGTTTGCATGGGACCGCTGGAACTGCCCAGAGAGAGCTCTGCAGCTGTCCACCCACAGCAGCCTGCGCAGCGGTAAGACATCACTAACTCCAGATTCCCCAGACATCACTCACACATCTCTACACTGCAGCCAGACCAGGAGAGAGCCTAAATAAGAAACATCGCTAATGGAATTTAAAAGATGTCTCGATAGTCTTTTGTAATTGCAAGTTTTTGTGCGAGAGGGGAGGTTTTTCTTCCCTTTGTAAAATAGAGATGTTTGCTCAGTCGAAACATTCAGCACCCTTTGGGATGGATATAGTTGGCATGGTTGCTTAGAGCAAAACAAACAAACTAATCCATTTCCTAATACCCCCCAAAACCACTGCCTCTATTTGCAACTGATGAATGCAATATTGACAAAGGGTCAAATGTAAGGCAGTTCAACCTTTCAAAAACTTAATGTAGTCACAATTTAGAAATGTAGATACCACTGTGTCTTGAAAGGAGTATAGGTAATTGACTCATTAGTTTGAAACATGTTAAAAGCTCTTACTAAGGGAAGGAGATGGTGATATGAAATTCCTGAGGGTCCTTTGTAATGAGACATGCCAGTAAATGAGTTTTCTCTGCTCACAGCAAATCGGGAGACAGCGTTTGTCCATGCCATCAGCTCGGCCGGAGTCATGTACACTTTGACCAGGAACTGCAGCCTCGGAGACTTTGACAACTGTGGCTGCGACGACAGCAGGAACGGACAACGAGGTCAGAAAGGTTCACTTATGTGTGCATACAAAAATAAGTTTGAATCAAAAGGCACGGATCATTCTAACTTAATTATTTTTGCTAGGCGGTCATGGTTGGCTCTGGGGCGGCTGCAGTGACAACGTTGGCTTTGGCGAGGCCATCTCCAAACAGTTTGTGGACGCGTTGGAGACTGGGCAGGACTCACGGGCAGCGATGAATCTCCATAACAACGAGGCCGGGCGCAAGGTACAGTAGGTGCTCCTAATTCACTCCATCCACAATGAGATATTAGTCCTTGGTGTAAGATGTAACACCATGTTGTTGCCTTAATTTGAGCTATACAGTATTTAAACTGAGTAGTGTTGGATTGCTTGACATTTCTAGATTCTCTCCTGGCCCTCCAACTGATTGCGCAGTGTAAAGCACCTTTTGAATATTTTTTCCAGAATTACACTGCCACCCAAGCATCCCTTTCACGTCGCTATAAGTGAGGTGCCACTCGTCCCCAATAATAACAGTGTGTTCGGTGTACCAGAAGGGCCTATTTACAAGTGCTGAAAGCCCCTTATGACAATACCTCAACCCGAAAATCTCAGGATCACTGGTGCAAGCTTAATTAGAGATCCTGGGGAGCCAGACATTGCACAGCGTTCTGTATTATGCTGCTTTTTAAAATAAGTGTTTAGTTTTATTCTTGCAATAAGGATCCCACATTTATGTTGGTCTTTGTTTGGCCCCGAGGGAGTCTGAGGGGACCACAGGCGTGCAGCTGAAGTGCTCTTTGTTTACGGTGCCTTTGCTCCCCCCTGTCGGGCCCTAGGATCCCCATGGCACCTGGAGCATCATTGTAACAGAAAAAAAATGGGGATAGAAAGAGAGAAAAACTCCTTTTTCATTTCTCCACTCAATGGGACTCTCCATTGGGTCTTCTCACACTAGAAAACATGTTGATAATGAACATGCTAAATAAATACTTCTATTTCTTCTGGGGGTACAATAGGACTCAATGTGAAACTTTGATTCAGCCTCACTTCAACAGAAAGTTCATCCCCTCCTCAAGAAAAGAAAACGTCCCTTTCAACCGACAGCTGTTTTTGTGTCGGATAAAGTCAGGAAACACTGAGGACGACAAAGAAACTCAACTGTGGACCTTGAAGCTATCATTTCTTCCTTTCAGTGTATTCATCCTTTTATACTTAACTGGAAAACGTCACATCAATCAAGAGACAATGGACATCCTGTCTTAACACACACATATAATGACATAGACATGAACAAGAGTGTCAATGCATACGAAACTAACATCCTTCAACACAGTTAAACTATGAATACATTTGAATACAGTTTATTTGTGTCTCCAGGCTGTGAAGGGGACCATGCAGAAGACATGTAAGTGTCACGGGGTGTCGGGAAGCTGCACCACCCAGACCTGCTGGCTGCAGCTGCCGGAGTTCAGGGAGGTGGGGAACTACCTGAAGGAGAAGTACCACAGGGCTCTGAAGGTGGATCTCCTCCGAGGAGCCGGGAACAGCGCGGCCAGCCGAGGGGCCGTCGCAGAGACCTTCAGCTCCATCTCTCGAAAGGAGCTGGTCCACCTCGAAGACTCCCCCGATTACTGCCTGGAAAACCGCACTTTGGGCTTGGCGGGCACAGAGGGCCGCGAGTGCCTCAAGAAGGGCAAGAACTTGAGCAAGTGGGAGAAGCGCAGCTGCAAGAGGCTCTGCGGAGAGTGCGGTCTGGCTGTGGAGGAACGCAAAGCAGAGATGGTGTCAAGCTGTAATTGCAAATTCCACTGGTGTTGCGCAGTGAAGTGTGAGCAGTGCAGAAAGACAGTGACTAAATACTTCTGTGTGAAGAGAGGAGGTCAGAGGGGAAGGAACGAGAGTGCCGGGAGCCGCCGGAAGAACCTCAGACTGAGGAAGAAGCACTGAGCACCCTTATCACTTGTGTCATAATATGTGTGTCACTGCAGACTCTCTGTGCATGTTCAGATAGTGTGTGTTTGGACAAAAGCTTAGCAAAAAATACAATTTCAGACCATCTTCATTGTCTTTTTTTCTATTCAAAGTTAAAGATTGTGGGATGTGCACAAAGTTACATGGTAGAGAAGTTTACAACTTTGTAGAGTTTTGGTATAAATGTATTTAAGATATATTTTTTATACTTTTTACAACATTATCAAAAGCCACTGGGCATTTGAAGGGCATACTTCTGACTGCCAAATTTGCCACAACATGATTTATTTATTTTCATACGTACACATGAGCCTTGGGGAACATTTGAACAGTTACTTTTTGATCAGTGGATGATATGATTGTTTAACAATGGCATAATCAGCTTTTGAAAACACAATTTTCAAGAACCCGTCAGGATGTAATCCCATGAATGCCTAATACTGTTAGCCTAGCAGTAATATTCGTATATTTCAACTATCATAGCCAATCTTTACATTTATTCAGAAACATTTAGACATTTCTTTCGGAAAGTCTGGCCCGCCCTGACCTTTGCTGCCCTCTTGATGTATTTAATTGTATATAAAAATGAAGCACTTTGTACTGTACATTGTTAATTTATTGCACAGCATTTCCTAGTTTTGCTTTATTGTTAGTTGCCTTCATGGTTTGTTTTCTATTAAAATGTAATAAAAGAATAAATCCTTCCATCTTATATATCATTCAGCCTGAAGAAAGCATTCATCGTTCTTTACTCTTTGTGATTCCTGAATCAGTAAACACAACCTTCCTCTTCACATTGTTCACATAAGGGTGAGGACACCGTGGGGCAAATCAACAAGAATTGTAAACTTTCCAGCGTTCTCTTCGTTCCATCACGCCTTTCTCAATTTCGCCTCAACAAATACCTCCCCGTCCTCTCACTCATCATGGTAATCCTCAAAGAGCCCCCTAACTCCCCACCGCTTGGAAGTTTCTTTACTGTTTAATACTAGTTTAATTAACTTTGTCCAGACAGAGTAGGGCCGTGGGGGTGGAGGGCATGAGGCAAGTTGCCCTTAAAAATCATCCCGCCTCTAATTTTGTATGCTAATCTCCTTTTTCACGCCGCACCTCCTTAGGAGTGGGTGAAAGAAATGTTGGGAAAACTTTGGGGTTGCCTGTGCAGGGCTTCCTGCGGCTGTTTTATTTCTGGGCCCACCTATTTGGATCCTTTCACTCCTCTAGGGCCTTCCTTTGCTCGATTTAACAATGAATGCAGAGCTAATCAGCTCTCTCGGAAATGCACCACTGTCGAGGAAGGTAATCCCTTCTTCTCTACTCTCAATGGGCTGTCGCCTTCTAAAGGACTTTGGGAAAAGGCTTTGCACAGATTCACACTGTTTTCTCAAAAGAAGTTAGTTCAAGTATTGTGCCCAAACAAGTGGGTTTTATAAACACATGCTTGCCAGGAGACTCACCCCACCTGCAAGTAAGAAGTGCCAGGCCCAGGCAGACTAGCACATGGCAGCCGAAGCCGAAACCCTTCAGACGAGATGGGACATGAAAAGGGAGATTAGAGTTCCCATTGAGAAGGGGGCGTTCATTTCTGCACCTTCCTCCTTTTACTTAATAAAGTGTCAAGGAAACACCTTGTTGACATCTTATTTATCAAATAATGATCATAATCAAAACTCCTCCCTCCTGATGACCCCTGTGGGCTTGCTGGATTGCTCTGCCTGGCATGCAGGGAAGCCCAGTCACCAACAAAAGAACCAGCATACCAAGCTTTCGCCCGGCGGCTCTCTGGAAGCTCTGCAATTTACTGAGATAGGGAATAGTAAAGGGGCACATAAAATGTCAATTCACAAGATTTTGAATGCACAATTATAATTAGCACATGCATTTTGGATTAAACTTAACAAAGCCATTTAACAGAATGCATTTGTTTAGAATGCATTCTTATTTCGAGTTTTTTCTGCAGTTTGTGAGTCATGCTGTCAGCTCTGGCTCACTATCAGCGGAAAGTTGCCTGCTTATACCCACATGTAAACATAAATCACACAAAGGGAAGAAACTGCCAACACAGCAAGTCAGTTAAAGTGTGGGAAAAAGCCAGACCGAAAAACATGTTTAACTGTTTTTGAGTTCAGCAGTTTGACACACCTGGGGCAGTGTTCGCTTGTTCTGCCAGGATCAGTTGTGCATCAGCAGCGGAGATGAAAGAGAGTGCATTGCTCTGGTGGGCAGTACATGAAAATAATAATGTGCTTAACCTGGAGACCTAATGTCAGGTGCTGGACCGGGAGAAGCTAAATATCTCAGCTTCAAAGAGAAAGAGTAAATGCTTATATAGCCCAAATAGCCACTTACCCTTTACCCTGCTGCACTATATTATCTTTATTTCTTTTTAATGACGGATTCTTTCACTGTGGACTACTATAAGTGGGCTATGAGAGTCACATGAACAACCAGGGGCCACAGTTTGAGACACCTTAATAATCATCAGCATTATGTCAATTTTTTCCCCTAAAATGAACAACCACAAGGAAGGAAGGTGAACAGGATGGGGCACACGTTATAATGGCGTGTGAAAAAGCACAAATCGTTGATCATGACACATCATTTCCCAGAGAGTGACACGACCTCCGACCGAGGGGTCTGAACTTCCGTCTCTCGGGCCAGCCCTGCCATGTCCAATTTGCCGTAACACTTGAGACTGAAGGTGGTGGAGGGAGAGGGGGACACCGCAGAGGAAGAGTGAGGCTTTAAGCTTTTTCACAGAGCTTGAAAAATCAATTCAACATTTATAGGATCAGATTTTTTTTATATAAATGTTGGACATAAAAACATTTTTATTTGACAGTATTAGCAGCATGAAAAACAATTCAAACATTTTAAGTTTTGGTTGAAAGTATATATGTTCTCCTTTAAATTAGAACTTTTTATATGAATAACACAGAGGCAAATTTCCCTCAGGTAGCAAGAGATAATGCAATCAACGAAAGATGGGAAAACGACTTATAATGCTTCAGAGAATCCTTGACTAATAGGATTTATGGCTTAGGGGTTCTGGACCTACAACACCTACAGGGGCGAGGGTCAGTATGAATGTGAGAGAAAGCCAACACAGATGAGTACAGATGAGTGGGACGTCCTCCAAACTCTCTTGTTACACATTTTGGGTCTTTGTGTCTGTTTGTTTGCAGTATAACCTCCAGAAACATTAAACGCTTCCACTCATCAGTAAACTGTCTCATTGTAACATTATCTCCTCGAGAGAGAGTCTTTGTTTTGACAGCAGTCCATCGGCTGGGGAGAAGGCAGCAGCGGTGTATGTTTGTTGCTATCAGCAGGATTGAGATACAAGCTTCTTGAGGCTCACCGGGGTGGTCAATCTCCTGGCTCTGTCTGCAAAGAATGGGGAGAGGGGAGCATCAGGGGGATCAGCTCAGCTCACTGATCTGCACAGGAAACACAGAGCATGGGAACCCACCAGGGAGCCAAAACTAGTCCCCACAGTGGAAATCTGCTGATAAAGCCTGAGTTAAGAGAAAACAGAAGATGAATCAGGTTTTTACAAAACAAATCAGAAAATGCTTTTGAGATAAACTTCTTCCTGTAGTGGCTTGTAAAGCTGTCACAAAAAGGGTTAACACCACAGAGTGACAATGATCAAAGTGATTGATAAGATGCACTCCATCGAGTTCAATACCAGAATGACGTGAGAAAACAGAGCCAGACTCCATCAGCTGACCGGTTCAGTGAGCAAGGTACAGTGTGAACTGCTATCTCATCAAGAGTTATCAATACAGTGCTGAGGCAATGATGACCACAGGTAAATATTGGCTTTCAGGATTTCAAAACTGTTTGCTCTGTATTTTATAAAGAGAGAAAAAGTTCAAGGGAATGACTAAGCATGATCAATGGGAAGAAAATGTGGCCTGTTTTAAACGTTATCGATGGCATGACTGCATGGCGTCCTACTGTACAGATCAATGTTAACAAGCACTGATGGAAATATTCAGACCAAGTAAACATATGTATTATCAGCTAAATAAACTGAATTACCCAATAGGCAGAACTATCCATCACAGTGTAATATATTGCTGTACTTTAATGTAATTTAAACCGTTTTATATAGCTTATATTTTCTTTCAAGTTTTAAGGCTTTTATTGTCATGTGTGCATAGCTACAGTTTAGTTATGACAATGAAAATCTTCGGTCACAGGCTCCACCAAATAAAACAGATAAAATAGTACAAGTAAATAAAATAAAATAGAATATAATAGAAACAGAATATAATATAAACTGTGCGGAATAGTCTATATACAGTAATTGGAATATTGATGTATATGATATGAGTAGCAAACCGATTAATGTTATGTATGTTCTTTCAAAAGGTCAGCTTTGTCTAATACAATGCATCATTTCAGTCCCTGCCTGCAGCTTCACTCTGAGTGTAATGTAATGTTCCTTAGGGCTATATTATATATCTTTATTTCCTTGCACATTATGTTGATTATGTGATGCATTGATAGAAAAAACAGAATCTTTAAATATGACTTTAGACATGACTTGTAGTCACAAGGCAGGATGGTGAACTGCGTGCTGTGGGTTTGAGTCCAACCCCCCCTGTGGCTTGTTGTGAAGGAAGTCCTCTTGAATTTCACTTCAGGTTGGAGTACTTTCTTCCTCAATCACTACTTAAGTCAAGTAACTAATTCCACAATTTAAAATAGCAAAGGAAGCATTATCAACATAAAACAGAAAAGCATCAAAAATGAAAGGAAGACAACTTTCATTGTGTTTTTTTTATTATTTTCTTTATTGATACTCAGGCATTCTAGCCACTAGAATTAAAGATGGTTTCAACTACATTACACTGCTCGGAATTTAACAATGCCTTATATTTTATACAAATATATTTTGTATGAAGACACTTTTTCTTTGCAGTCTATTGCAGTCAAATTAATCAGCTCATCTGGGGTACCAAGCTTTCTGTAAAATACATTTGGTGGGATAAAAATTACAGTATCTCCCTCCGAAATGCAGTGCAGTAGGCATATTAATTAAATACTTGAGTAAAGAAAACTATTTTCGATAGTAATTTACTTTAAATGGGATACCACAATTATTAATCATATTGGGGAAATGCACTTGTTGAATCAAAAAAGCAAAGACAAAAGTTAAAAAAATCTATAAGAGAAATTAAAAACAATAAAAACCAAATAAAAGAACATAGCTAACTCACACTGTATGGGCAACACATGCATAATTGCACCCATCATTTCATAATGATGTATATAATTGTATCAAGAAAAAAACGTATGGTTATGTTTATAATATATAAATATATAGCTATATAACAAATATATAATTATACAAAACACATGTATTATGATGAATTGGTATGTATTCCTTGTGTTATTTTCTGTTTATTTGTCAGTTTTCTGAACTAATGCAAGAAAACCTAGTGCAACAGCTCCCTCTCGCGGTGCAGTGAAGTTATTACAACATGAGCATTGAAGCATCCAGGACATTAGATGTCGCTGTCCGAAATTAAAGGCATAAAACTCTCTGAGTGTTGTCCTGATTTCTTATGCTCGGCTCGTTGGCTTTCTGGCTGTCAACACGGTGTGTAAACAGCTACACGGAACAGCCGGGGAGAGGGGCTGCAGCAGGACGGCTTCTCCTTCATTAATTTAATAACGGTGAATGGGAAAGCCTGTATGAAAGTCTCTGTGGCCTAGCAGAGTCCGGAAGAGAGGAGGTGTGTGGGTGTTTCATTGTGAGGAGGACGGAGGCAGGGAACCAGCTTGTCGGGGACCATGGCAGCGGTGTCCGTCGCGGAGGCTGATCCGGCGACCAGTGAAGGCGGAGTGGCTTTCACTGGCGTCCAGAGCCGGGGCTGGGATGAGTCTCAGCTCCGAAAATACTCTTTCCAAACCAAGCCCATCCCCAGACTGTCTCATGCAGACCCCAGAGCAGAGATCCTAATAAACAACGAGGTAAAGCCACTCAGATAGCTCAACTTTAATGTATAGATCTGTATGTTTTTCAGCATGGAGACCTGCAGCACAATCCCTTTTATATAAGGTTATTGGTCAAAAGCATGAATTGGTGTGCAGTATCTTATTAACATATAGAGAGGATGTGAAAGTAAAACGTTGCTATACAATTTACAAGTGTATTAACCCTAGCCTGGTTTTGAGTGAAGCACTAGGCTATTAAAGTCATTCAAGGGAGCATTATTATTATTATTATGTATCCCCATTTAAAATAAGACACAAGAGAAAGGGATTTTTAACATTGGATATTCTGTTCTATAATTTTGTTTTTTTAATATTGCATACTGTATAGGCCTACTCCATTGGCCATTGCAATGGTTAATTGTTAAAACATAAATGTTATTCCTGTAATAAGATTTCTAGCTAGATTACCATTTGCAATGATTTGAAGCACTTGAGAAAGTAGTACCAAATGTGAACCATACTGTATAATGCTTACCTCTTTACTTAAGTTTCTATTAACAAAATAAACCAATATACTGACAACAAGGAAGATCTTGAGTAGTTAAAATCAGGATACATGTAATATAGTACATTGTTTTTTTAAATCTGACTTTTTCTTTGGAGTGTTTATAGTTTTGGAAATGCATAATGAAACATATTATAACTGCAAAGCTTATTAGGGTTTCACATTCAAAAGTAATCCTCTTGGAGATGTCACATCAGGTAGTTTGACTCTGGCTGAAAACACCTGCTGTGCTGACATTTTTGTTGTTGCTTAGTCAGAAAAGCCATACCGTGGTGGGTTATGTCACCAGTAGGCTATATTAACTCATGTGGATGTCCTCTTTCCCCTCTCATTTTTTGGTGAAAAAGCAGTGAGTTAATGCATAAACATGACAAATCATCCTGAAAGGCTGGTTCTACGTGACAGGTATGAGGCAGTATTAACCCAATGATGTCATCACATTTCTGACTCTGCCTTTAAAAGGAGTGAACAAGCTTCTTTGACATCCATGAAGCACACATGAAGACGTAAAAAAGGAACACACACCATTGCACTTGTGGTGACAAACCTCATCCCATGTCATTATTTTGTATTCATTATCAGAGTCAGATGGAGCGTTTCCCAGGATGGCTTTATAACTGTTGAACAAAGACAACAGTTAACAACACAGCAATCTCCTGATAGGGCAATGAAGCATATGGCTTTCATGGACGTGCAATACTACGTGCTTTGTGACTTCTTATTGTACCTGTTTTAAAAGGAAATGCATATTCACCCCACCCTTAATGTTGTAATTAATATAGGGTTGACTTGTAAGTAAAGTTTGTTGTCTTGGGGTAACTTAGGGTGCCATATTAAGTGTAGATAGGCTATAACATGATGGTGGCCAAAGCAGCTTGAAAAAGTTAGGAAGAGGCTTCATGAGGCTGGCTGCCTGCTGATAAAACAGTATATCAATTGATAGCGTTACAGGTATGTTGGTGCATTTTATGGTTAGGTGAAAAATCGCTTATTTTCTCATGATTGCAGAAAGCTAGTGCTGTACACATCATGTTATTATGTTAATTAACCACCAATTATGTTTATTGTGATGCAGGATCCTATTGACTTGAATAAAGCTAGTGCTTGTTGAGAATATGAAAAGAAACAGCCAGGAGTTTATTAAAGTGTCTCTTATCCAGATACAGGTGCACAAAGATGTTAGCATAGCTAGATTCTGTCTAGATTATCAGACCTGAAGCTTTCTCTTCTGTCTAATGATTCCTATTGTACAGGAATATGAATCAGTTGTCATCAAAACTTCCCAAAATGGACCAGCTTCTGTATTTTCACTCAGTTTTGAATGATTAAAACCTACTATTTCCAGCTCTTGACAAATGGTTTACAAGAATAACAAAACTCTTATGGAATTTTAACCCACGCACCACATTTGAACTTACATCAATATTGCTCAAGTGAAGTAAAAAGCATTGTCCAAGTTCAAGAAGGCAGAATATGTATTTTTTTTTAACTGTTAAGGAAATTCATGTTCTTTCATAACCGCATTAAAAATATGTTTTTATGTATTATTACCGTTAACGTGGGCTGATTTGACTGGATTTGTACCTTCAACCTAATTGTAGATATTGTTTTTCACAATGAGGTTCATAATTTGCATCCATATTTCAACAATTGTATTTCTTTAAGTCCTCAAAGTCTGCTTTCATGAAGTCATGAAGCTAAGCTAGTTAAGAAATAAAGTGTAAACTGAAATGTGCAGACAAAATAGGGGATGATGTGCAACACAATCAGTCAGGTCGAATAAAAATGATTTGTTATTGTGTGCAATTTGCACTAATATAATGGAGGTGTTAAAGTGCAAGATAAAACCAGATGCATGTATGCACTCTTATTCACCATTTGTTTACACTGTTATTGGTTTGGCCTCAGTGAAAAGGTAATTATCAAACGCTGTTTTGGGAATCTCATTGGTTAGTTCTAAACACTGTGATACACTAATGAATAGATATCACATTAACTTAAAAAAAGAAGGTTAGTTTCTATTGCGAACTTAACAGGGAAGTACACTGGTGAGAGTGCTATAAGAACAGCACTGATGTGTCTAAATATGGCTCGTCCACGTCGCCATATTAGATAACGTTAACTGTTAAAAACATCCTTCTTGTACCCTGGGGAAACGCAACACGTATTCCTGTGCGCATCCAATCTTATCCAGGCAGAATCAAGACTTAAGATACATTTTAGTTAGCCTGTTCAAAAAGACACATAATGCTGATTTTACAACAAGCACAACATTATTTTAACTCTTTTGCACCGCAGAGTCCGCGCGCTTTCGGGCGAAAGTGAAACACCGAGCCGGTGCAGAGAGAGAGAGATGAAGAGAGAGAGGGGGAGGGAGAGGGAGGGGGAGGGAGAGGGAGGGAGAGGGAGGGAGGGAGAGGGAGGGAGGGAGGGGGATGGAGAGTGAATGCGTGCTGGTGTACGTTCAGTTGGTCACGTAGTCCTCGGAGCTCGGTGTGTGCAATGCCATGGACTGCCGTATCGATGTACTGTAAAAGTGCCATAAGCTAGATGAAACAAGTGATATTACACAATTTTCGCAGTAACATCTCTTACTTTAAAATGATTACATATTTTATTTTATTATCAACTGTTATTAACATATTAACAATATGACTATTCATTTAAGGTGTATGCCACTATAGTATATTTAGAACAACTTAAATCCCATAATAATTAAAGAACCAGTCCTTTAAATTCTGTATGGAAAACCAGTGATCCCTTTCAGCAGTGCTTATTCTATAGTGCATTTGCTGCATAGTGCATTCACTTGTGTAAAGACTTATTCTCATGAAATAAAGTAAACAAAAGCTTTTTGTAATATTATTGTATTATGTTTGTGTACATTGAAATGTTCTTTATCTGTTTTCAGGAGCCAGTGGTTTTAACAGACACAAACCTTGTCTATCCAGCACTCAAATGGGACATTGACTATCTCCAGGAGAACATTGGAAATGGAGACTTCTCTGTTTACACTGCACACAACCATAAATTCCTCTACTATGATGAGAAAAAAATGGCTAACTTTAAGAACTTTGTCCCCAAGTCAGAACGGATGGAAATGAAATTCTCTGAATTTGTAGAAAAAATGCACAAAACGGAGGAAATGGGAGGAGAGGAGAGGTAAGATACATTTATATATCTAAATTGGAACAAGAGTATGATATACGGTTTGTTTATATTAACTCCTGGGCTGATGCTTAATCACAACAAAGTTGTCTCTTTGAAGCTTTGCCAGGCCAGGAACTACATGTGACTGTGTTGCATGTGTGCTTAACAATAAAGGGTGTTTTTGAAAACATAAATTGGCACAGGAAGATGGAGCAAATGACTAAGCATTAGACGTGAGAATCAGGGGACAAGCTGTTTGGCTCTCTGGTGCTTACAGTGGATCTTATCTCTTGAATTTTACTGTCCATTAATCATCAACAAATTTCATTTAACACCCTTTCAAACTGTAAATATTGTATCAGACTACTGGTATACATGAAAAACTGCAGTAAATATACAAAGAACAGACACTGAACATGTATTGCGTGTGCCAGGTGTGATCCATGTGGGGGGATGGGCACATAAGAGCGGGAAATGTGTCAAATTGTTCTGTGTGCATGTGTTTGTGAGTGCCAGGTATGATTCACATGGGGGGATTGGGCACATAAGGGGGGGACACACATCTAGAGTATGTGTGTGTGTGCGTTTTATCTGATCTGGATGGTTACTAATTCCTTTTCTTTATGGCAGTCATTTTTGACCGGGAACACCATGGGTGTTACAAAGTTGACTAAATCATCCAAAATTCAATGAAAGTGGTGATCAGCAATTTTATATGTTAAAATGTCTACTGTGAGGGATATCATAAAGCCTTAATGCAATCGAATGTAAAACAAAAAAGTTATGATTGATGAAAGTAGTACATCGGTCAGATTTGACCCGAAGACAACAGGAGGGTTAAAGAGATGTAGTCTGCTGAAACAGAAGTGCCTTGTAAACAAGCGTATACCCTGCAGACACATTAAGAGTAAAATGAGCTGCATTGCGACTTGTTTCATGTCTCATAGAGCAAAACAAGGTGGCTCATAAATGTTTTTTTTCTCATGCATTTCAAGGGTTTATCTGCAGCAGACCCTGAATGACACAGTCGGGAAGAAGATAGTTGTTGACTTCCTCGGTTTCAACTGGAACTGGATCAACAAGCAGCAAGCCAAGAGAAACTGGGGACAGCTGACATCAAACCTGTTGCTCATAGGCATGGAGGGTAAGCACTCCTACAGGAAGCAGTGAGATTAGATTAGTTATACTGTATTGTTCCAAAATGTTGGAATTGTTCTGTTACAGCAGCTGTGAACAAGTCATTATACATGATTTAAAAATGTTATTAAAAAGTAAATATGTTCATTTCAACAGCAGAACATATACTGTCTATCTATCGAGTATCTATAGATCTATACATATACATAATAAGTTAGAATAACCATTAGTAGACCAACCTACTACTAAAAATATATAATCATAGGATACTTTATACATAATACAAGTTGCTTATTTTCTGCTGTATAATGTGGGCCTCAATGTTTTTCAAAACGTAACATTTTCTGTGAATATTCTCTCCCCACAGGCAATGTGACACCAGCGCATTACGATGAGCAGCAGAACTTCTTCGCACAGATCAAAGGCCAGAAGAGATGCATCCTCTTCCCTCCAGACCAGTTTGAGTGTCTCTACCCGTACCCTGTGCACCACCCCTGTGACCGGCAGAGCCAAGTACGCAGCACAAACCTAGGGTTTGATAATATGTGAACTTGTAATAGCATAGTGGTAAAGATTTTTCACAGCAAAGTTCTCATAGAAAATTATGACTATTGAAGAAAGTGAAAAAGATAAATTGGTGGTATTTCCATAGACAAGAAAATGTATAAATACTTCATAAACTAGCACATTATTCAAAAGTAAGACTTTCCCTTTTACTTTTCCGACATTTGTTTTAAATTGTATGTTCATGTTTTGTTTACTTATCCGTATTTGTTTCCTTCTTAGGTTGATTTTGATAAGCCCGATTTTGAGAGGTTTCCAAATTTTACAAATGTTGTTGGCTATGAGACTATTGTGGGCCCCGGAGATGTGCTCTACATCCCGATGTATTGGTAAGATCTACGTCTGCATGGTCTTTCTAAAGAAATGATGTATTCCTTCTGTAGAAAAATTAGCTCCACCTCTATAACAGATGATTTTCTCTAAGCATTGACTTTCTTGGATGCACTGCCAGCTGATGTTTATTTCATCTCTCTGGTTTCCAGTATGTTCTTTTTTTATATTTAACGCCTCAACATACTGTTAGAAAATGATTCATCAATGTTTTATTTGTATTTGTTGTTCAGGCTTTTGTTGATAGATATTTATGCTGTCAAATGTAACTCTTGTATAATACAGTTTCCATAGTTTAGCTAATGTGGAGCATGGGTCCAGAGTGAGTGCAGGGTTTTGGTGTTATTTTATAAACTACTCTTAACTGGCAAGATGAAATGCAGGAACAGTTGCTTTTACAGCTGGAGTGTGATGAATTTAGTTATCTATATTTATATTCTTTCCTCAGGTGGCATCATATTGAATCCCTGTTGAACGGTGGAGTGACGATCACTGTAAACTTCTGGTACAAAGTACGTATATTTGAGCCTTTGTCACTTTAACTTTGTGTTATCTTTGCCACTACATGTTGCTTTATGATCACTCACTTATGTGTTCCTTTTGTTCAGGGGGCCTCCACACCAAAGAGGATAGAGTACCCGCTGCGAGCTCATCAGAAGGTGGCCATCATGAGAAATATTGAGAAAATGCTGGGAGAAGCACTTGGAGACACACAAGAGGTAAAAGCACCTCCTATTATATCGTCTTAACAAACTCCTTCCGATCATCAGCTGCAGAAGTCACACACTATGGTCCAAAGTCACTTTCTAGAACATCAAATCAGATCCACATTTAGGTCACCTGTTATGAAATTAACATCCATTACATGAAATCCCCGGGGCATGCTGACCCTTCCAGCAACCTAATTACTGTGAATATTTATGGCGTACCTGATTTAGTACAAAAGAAAGATCTATGCATTCTGGGACCATGCAATACGTCTGACAATGTGAAGTAGCCTTTCTTAACCAAGTGTCCACTTGTTTCCCTGTAGGTCGGACCTTTACTGAAAACGATGATCAACGGGCGATATGACCAGGATCACAGTTAGAGACACTCTGCTTTGGAAAGCAGCTTTGGTTTGCTGTGTGGAAGTCTGACTTTGGAGCTCCATATCATTGCACGGCAATGCTTCAGTGGTCTCCCAGTGCCATCTGACTACTTTAAGGAGAATGTGCCCTTCTTGAAGACGTTTTTTGTCCTTAAATAGCAGGCCTAATTTGGCTTAAGTCTAGACATATTCATGTGAAACAGTGTTTTCACAACATTCTCATAATTCACGTTTTTCAACCAGTTGATAAGTTGTGTGCGTTTGGTACCTTTTAAACAACCTCTTTACTTTAAATACTTGTGGATGAGTCGTGGAATATAATAGTGAATGCAAACTTAAATGCAGTACATTTCTTATACAAATGTAATAACTCAGTTGTGGGTAAACTTACAAAGTGTGGAGTGATCATATTGTATTCTCCATCTTTATCACAGCTTTAAAACAGATTTGCTTCAGAAAGATCACAGTTCTTTTAAGTGTTTAAAACATATTTATCCACGCATCTCCACGCCTTACTACATGCTTTTTGGGAAGGGATCTGCAAGACTTTTCAGTTTCAGTGAAGACAGCATAGGCACGGTAATAAAAACACATGAGGACAGTGATAAGACCTAAGATTTTTATTGTCATAACTACACTGTAGCATGACAATAAAAGCCTTGAAACACTGGGATGAGTATGATCAAAAAATATGTGTGGGAAAGAATATGTGACTGCTTGCAGCTAAAATGTTAAAGCCGAGCAATGCTGCTTTATGTGAATTTATGTTCTTGCTTGTTTGATTTATTTGACTTTATGAATGTGTTTTTCCAAGTACCAGTAATAGGTGAGGGAACACTGAAAAATAAGACACATTGCAATTTTTGTTGCAAATACAGTTAACTTATATTTGCAAGAAAACATTGCCTGCAATTGCTTTTTTTGTATTTTATTTAAGTTTAAAATGGTATAAGTGGTTAACCTGAACAGCTTACAATTTTGATTAATGTCTCATATCAAAAGACTGAAGTAGCAATGCCCTCTGCTGGGATGTAGCTTACTGTATGTATCAGCCATTGCATTGCAACATTAAATGCCATCTAGTGGTGAAGTTGTCTAGTTACCTGGTCCATGCACTATAGTGCTGCATTTCAAATATTCACTGTGCTCTATTAAATGCAGAGGGATCTGAGACGAAATCTCCTTGTGATATGTTCAAAAGTTTGATTCCACTTGAAAACCTGTACTTGCTCTTTTGATTTCTGTCGGTTTACAATCCTTGGAAATGCACGTATTTTTTGCTTACATGCAACATTACTTAAAATACTTTAAAGTAAAAGCAACGGGGAATGATGGCTATTTTATTTTCAGGTTAAAAGTGCACTTCAGAAATGTTTAAAGAATGTGCATTTAAAAAAAAAAGGGGACAATAATTTCACGTGTTGTGCTGATTGTGCCAAACCAACAAACAAACCAGGAGACAGCCTCTCCAGAACTTTTTGTCCTCCTGACACTGAAGTGAACTATAAAAACCTCAACATCCATCATTTTAAGAATATACACGTGCTAGCATTGTGCATATCTTTTTCTTACAAATCACAAGATCATGAAAAAGAAATACTTCTTCCTTAAAAATGTTTTATTTATGATGTAAGACTCTCCCCTATTGCTTGGTTAATCCTGTTTACTGTGTGTGCATCGCTTAACAATGGCATGGCACAACATGTTATGACTTGATTTTTTTGTTTTATGGTCAAAATGTTTGTTTTCACTCTGGTATTAAACAGCTTTAAAGGTGAGATTGACAAGGGTTCATAGAGATAGAGTTGGTTTAATTGATAAAAGCCTGTTTTGTTGTTTGAACAGACAGTATGTGCTCTCCTTGTTCCTATGAATAAAGTTTGTTTTCAAACTTTAACACAACCGAGTCCTGAATGATGTGATGGTTTATATACACAAAGCTATGAATTAAAAATATTTGAACGCGTGAACAATTAAAGAACCACAATGTGAATGATATACAAAAATTAGTATTTATTTACTACAAATTGTGCGTTAGTTTTCTCGTAGCGCAGTGTTCAAACTCTGAAAAAACTTGACTTGGGAGCTTCATATAGTAACTAAAGACACGTTTGCTGCAGTAACAACACATCTTTTCAACACTCAATTGCATTACAACTACCTCAGAAAAACCACCAATCAAAAACAATACTTATAGTTGTACAGTGGAACACAACAAAAAACAACGGTATATATTTGGAAAAAACCCACAAAAAACTCCTGACTAACCCATTTATCCTAATACAACTGACAAGAATAAAATGAGAAACCAATCGTAATCAAAATCTCCACAACCAACAATTACAAGCGAAGCAAAATTCACGACACAAATGAGATGAGCTGTGATAGAGGACCAACATCATGTTAACAGACCCTTAAAGCACACAACGGCCCTCTTCACAATAAATACTTGATTGGAGAATTAGCAATTCTAAACAGCTTTACTAAAAATAGAGATAATTATATTGGAACGAACTTCAAAATCAAGTCCTTCTGCAGCATATTTCGCTTAACATTTAGCGGGCAACCACAGTGCTCCATTTTAATGTGTCAAAAATGATAGTGCTGTAACAGTTTCTGCACCTCTTGAGACTTGAATTTGTTGTGCTAGAAAATTAATTAGCATTTAATCAGGACTTCGAGTGTTAGCAGCAGAGCTACTTGTGATGAGGACAATTCAAGGTTGAACTTATCCTCCTCCAAAGCACACAACCTTGTTCACCATAGATCTCCTGAAAAAGCTATCTGAATAATTTTGCTAAAATCTGGAACAAATTGATAAAAAAAACAACGTTATCCAGATAATCGTTGTTTTGGGTCGACACTCAGTACTGAAATGATGGTCTTATTCTAGTAAAATAAACTGTGGGTTCAATTTAAGTAACATTTCAACTAAATCCCTAACTCAGGGCAACCATAAATACATTCTTAGGTGAGGAATGCTGAAGATCGCCCCTGTACAAATTGGCATTAAAAAAAAGTTTCAGAAAATACTTTTTATTTAAAAACCATTTTGTAGCACAACAAATTGTCCCATTCACAAGGATTGACCGAGCCTTTTCCCAGCACTGTATGCCTGGATGATGTAAAAATATAATTTTAAATGAAATTGGCATCAATGATATATATTTACATAAAAATGCAATCATGACTTGAAATGTCTAGAAGAAGCTCTACAGCACCATAAGATCTTATTTACAGGAATGATAATAGATCCAGCTCGACAACGTCATGATAATGAATCTGTATCATCGTTTGGGAGTGAAAATAAATAAATAAATGAAGAGGTAAAAAAGGACAATAATGTCAGTGCAACATCAGACCTGCTGAGATGGCAACAAGTAGATAGGTATTCTGATTCTGATAGGTTAGGCTGTTACACGAGAACACAAGTTACAACATATCACACATTTTAAAAGCTTCTCAAGCAACTGAAACACTGATTTAATGTTTTAACCAAGGCATAAAATGGCAACACAATTTCAAAATAAGCCACTGACACACCTACAAATATATGTTCCTATACTTGAGCCAAATGAACTTAATAAATAATATAAAAGTGTAAACAATATTGTCAGTAGCTGCTCTTACACTGTTGTGCTCATCATCAATGGAATCTGTACTTTCGTGCAGGCTTCAGGTTGACATACGTCTTCTTCATGTCCTCTTCGTCGTCTTTCTTCACCAGCTGATAGCGCTCTCCTTTTGTGGTTACCACCTGGTTACCGTGGTACCGAACTAGCTTCTTCGGAGCCTGTAAAAAAACACCAGGATAAGGGTTGTAAAGCATGAAACATATGTAACTATGGTATAATTACATTTTAAATGGAGGATAACTTACCTCTTTAGGGGGCAAAGGCCTGTGTGTTTTTTTATCCTCATCCCTGTCAACTAACATGTACCTATGGAGAAGAAACATAGTCATACAAATAGAAACAAAGAAGTGAGGACAGCTCTACTCTCCACAGGATGATAGCAATCTTACTCACTTCTCAAGGATGCTCTCTTTAAGTTTTTGGTCTGGCACTGAGGAAATACTCTTCCCGGGGTTTACCTGAGACAACAGAACACCATCAAATCACACTGCATAACACACACAGTGGCAGTGGGTCAGTGTATAGCATTTACTCACGTTAAGAGGAGTTTGGCTGAGTTGGACGTCGCCCTCTATGATAAGGCGCACAGCTTCCTCAATGTCTCCTTTGGCAATACACAGGGCGCTGCGAGCATCGGACAGACTGCACTTTGGAAACATTTCCAACAGATGCTGCTCCTGGGACTCCCACTTAGACACTGGTTGCTGGGCATTTACACGAAGGTATTAGCTCCAAATTACATTATTGCTAACTACATCAACAGTGGGTCACACAATGAGAAAACGTAAAATTAAAGTAAAGGAAATATTGTGCTGAAATGATTACCTTGGCAGTGGCGCCCTCTGTCTGTGATTTAAGGCACTGCGTTTCTGCTGGTGGAGGTTCACTGGGCGGGGTGGGGAGTTTTAAGGAAATCTCTTTTGTCCTTGCCTTAAGCTCAACAATTTCTTCACAGGAAACGAATTCACATCAGAATACTGTAGTACAACTGTTAGCTGATGATCCCCATCCAACATTATACAAAAACATTTGGAAAAGTTGCCACAGTAGCCTACTGCATGTAATAGAAATAATAAAAATGTAAAGAAAAATACCTGAGGTCCGAGCAGTTGCCAGTTTTGAAGCTAGATTGAACATCATTTCACAGACCTTGACACTGCAAATATAAAAACATAATTGTAGGAACAACAAACGTTGGAGTTATGTAATAGAACAAAGTGTAACTGCCTGTTTACCTGTCAATTTCAGCAAAGCCAGGTATGTAAGCTTCTAGCATTTCTGCAAAGTCCTCCACGTCTAAGTTCTCCTCAACACTCTGCTCGGAGCCCAGATCCTCCAGGACTCCAGTGATGTAAAACAGAAGAACATCATCCAGTGTGCTGGATTGAGCGGTAAAAAAAAGAGGTTATTGTAAGACTGACTTTTTTGTAAAGATGCTACGAAAGTTGGGCAATTGTTTACCTGAGATCTGCGTCAGGAATGTAAGCCTGAATAAATTCGTACAGCACACTGTGGATGATTTTGTGGAGTTCCATTGCGTTCTCCTTCTGTGCAATAGAGAAATAAAGGGTCAGTAGTGCTGGAGTTCAGCTACAGAGAGTCAAGGCAGTTATAGTGAGCAGCACCAGTGGTGGAAAAAGTATTCCGATTCTTTACTTGAATAAAAGTACAATACAACAACGCAAAAATACTCAATTTCAAGTAAAAGTACAGCATCGAGAATGGTACTCAGGTAAAAGTATTGAAGTACGATGAGTAAAATGTACTTTAAAGTATTGGAAGAAAAATAATCATTGCAGAAAAAGCTTAAACAATATTTAAGTATGTTAAAGCAAAAGCAGCAAATCTTCCCATTTAAAAAGCTGGAACTTTTTTATATTTTTTACCAAAAAACTTGCCACCCATGGATTTAGTTACTTACAGTAAGTATAATGTTGGACAGTTTAATTTATACCAAAACAATCATATTTAAACGTTTTTCCAAATATTGTGTGTCAAAATCGTCAACTTATAAAGTAACTAGTAAACCAATCTGTAAAAGCAATGTAGTGGAGTAAAAAGTACCAACATTTGCTTCCAAAATGTAGTAGAGCAGAAGTATAAAGAAGTATAAATTAGAAGAAGTACTTAGTTACTTTCCACAACCGAGGAGCCGCGACTGCAAACTTTGAATAACCAAAAACAACAGTTGTCCTTCGTGTAAAAATGTTGCTTAGCTCAGACCAAACGTCCCATGGAGATGTTACAAAAGCATTTATTATGAAAGCTTGGTGATGAGATTTTGCTGCCACACATCGCTGTCGCGATAGGTGAGTGTTGAGTTTTACGACCCACCGAAAGTTACTGAACTTCTAATTTGGGGGCTTTGATTAATTTCACCACAAATCGACAGGCCTGGAATGGATGCAACTACAACACACATTTGAATAGTCGAGGAAACCCCTCAACGTATTCCAAAATCGAAGTAAGTATTAAAGTGACAGTGACCCAATCGTTACAAAGATAATTATACATGTAGCTTATAACACCAACCACGTGTGTTGCCCCACACTCATAACGTTAGGTTAACAACCCTCCTAATGTAATGCATTTGTTGGCCATACATTACTTGGACATTACATATAATTAGCAGCTAACCTAGCTAACGTAATGTTTAATAAACAACGACACCGCTAAGCTATCATTTGCTAAAGTTAAACCGTTGCAGGCGTGTGTTATCATCCACCACACACAGCCAATTGTTCCATGCACTGTCATAAATGACTTAACATTATCATTGTGCATTCGTCAATACGGTTACAGTACATCATTGTTTCCTGTAGGATAAATAACGGTAGGTTGCTAAGGCTAGTTATTGTTAGCAACTGCAAGCTAACGCGTTCTATGCTAAACCAACCTCGGTTAATTAGCGCTATACCGGAGCGAACGTAAATGGAGTTAAACTTACTGTGGCAGATATTATAGGGACATGAAGCTCACAGTTACCCCCAAATGTGTGAAGGGGATGGTGTTTGCTTGCTATCCGTGCTGCTGGACGTTAGCCTGCACGATTCAAAACACTAGCACGTCACATCCTCTGTAAACAGCCTGGTTAACTGCAGCAGTTTGAATGTCTGTGCAGCTGCGAAGTTATTGTTTAAAATGTATTCGAAATTATGGTTTTAGCTAAGAATAGAGTATGTTTTGTTTTCTGTAAAGACACAGAAGTATTTTTGATGGATTATTCACTGACCTGCAAAGTTCCCTGCATAATTTATAC